AAAGGAGGGAGAGAGAGAGAGAGAGAGAGAGAGAGAGAGAGAGAGAGAGAGAGAGAAGAGGCAAGATGGAAAGAAGGCGAGGGAGTGATTTTCATTGTGCGTGCGTGAGAGACACTTTATCGAGAAATAAATACAAAAGGAGATTGGTTGCAACTATTAAGCTTTGTACAACCCTAATCGAGAAACAGACGAGTAAACGACGTGTAAGAGTCTCCAAGGGGCTGTTAGGTTCATTTGTAAATCATCTCTCCTTCGTCAGGAGGCGTAAACCACCCTTCTGGGAGCGTAAAATATGTTGGATATTCTTTCTCTGTGTATAAAATTGTAAACATCTATCAAATCCAAAATCAATGTTTCTAACTTATTTATAATAAATAATATACATTAATGATAAAAATAAACACAGTTTGTGACAGTAGTATTGACGAGTGTGATGAAAGAAGTCATCCCTCAATTGCAATAACGATCCCTCCTCCATCCCGCATATTTTCAACGCCAATATCTTATATGTTGTTTTATTCCGTTTATTTATATTCCTTAGATCTCTAATAAAAATATAATAACAAAAATAAGACATTTGTAGAGTAATAAAAAAAATAACTAAGAATTTTCAAACACTAATTTTCTAAAATGTTTGAAATTTTTAATAGTGTAAATCTTGGTCATTGTATTCTCCTGATATTTTGTCGATGTCTGTGCGTTTAATATTTTTTTCAAATTTTTGAAGTTTCAAGATTTTAAAGTTTAAAAATTTTCAAATTTTAAAAACTAAGAAATGTGATTCTTAAAATTCTTGTTAATACATATATGAGAATAGATACATAGAGAAATATGTTTATTTCTAAGGCAAGATATTGATATTAATATAATGCAAGTTTTATTATATTTCTCAAAACTACAAAATTATATTATTATTGATTGCATTAACACTTATATTCTATTATAAAAAATTTTCTGTATAATTATTTTGAGTTCAAAGAACGAAATACGAATGATTTCCGATTTTTTAAAATAATATATAACATGCGTTACGAAGAATAAAGAAAACATAATAAAAATAATTTAACAGAAAATTTCTTACATGAAACATATTACAGTCCTATTTTGTACGTAAATATTGTGTAAGAACATTCCGTAATCAGATAACATATCTGTTGACATACACTTTATTATCTTCCTTTTCAAAAATATAATATTCTTCGATCGTTTTTAAACATCTTTAAATCCTCACATAATATTGAAAAGAACCAAATTTATGTAAAATATATTTAATGAGCGCTTCTGCAGTTATAGCGCGCAAATAGTATTATGTATTTATTAAACATAATTCGCAAACACGTGGAATATACTTACCAACAAAGTTAACTTTATTTGTAAATACGTTTTATTTTTTTGTTTGCAAATTATATCTTACCTTTTTATATTATTAATTAACATAAATACATAATTTATGTACTATATAACAGAGGCTCATACAATTATTTTACTCATATTTGGTTTATTTTTGCAGCTACAAACTATTTTATTTTAACTATAAAAGAACGGTAATACAATTTGAATATTTATGAAGTAATTACACATACAATAAATCAATTTTATGTCTAAATTGAATGTAATACTCAACGCAAAAGTAATAAAAATGTCTGTGTGTTGTTAAAATTTCACAATTATACATTTTAATGAGATATTTTGAAAAATCTTATAATTACAGTAACTGTTCTGTGACGAGAGATGAATATCTTTTTATCTTTATCACGTGTTCATCAAATATGTGTTGAAGTAGAAGAATATAAATTATTTTCATATTCCTATCAACTTTATGTAATTAAGTAAATTGCCCTTTGAAAAACTGATTGATAAACTTAATTAATTTAAGTAAATTATTTATTGATGTTATATAAATATTGAACCGTCGATTTTCGTAAAATAGGCCACATGGAAATCTTTACCGCGTGCGTCGAACAGCTGAGGGTAGAGAATTAAAAGAAGGGGGCAGCTGTACGTGGAGTGCGCATGCACTAGGAGGGGTGGGTATACCACCACCTGGACAGCGCTTTTGATCCATGTGCGAAAGAAGGATAGCGTGAATCGAGGAGAAAGACAGATTGCTTGAGTGAGAGAAAGAATGCACGATTGAGGGAAACGGCAGATACAAAAAAACAAGGACAGAGCAAAACGGTGAGAAAAAGAAGGAAATAGCGCGAGAGCTGAAGAAGAACAATTTGCGATGGGGAGAAAGAGACGGAAGAGGGCGAGAAAGTATGAGAGATCAAGGGAGAAGGAGAAAGACAGGGAGAAGGAAGGAGCGTCGATGTGAATCAGAGAAGGGCAGAGAATGGCGCTGGGGAGGGGGGAGGGGGGGGATTGTGAGATAATAAGAGAAGGACGGAGCGTGGTGGTGGTAAAGAGATAAAGCGAAACGGAAGGAGAGAGGCCGAGGACAGAAACGAGCAAGAGAGAGAGAGAGGAACGAGAGCGGGGGAAACGCGCCAGCGGTGTCGCGGCGCGTTTCCGCGGCTATAGTCCTGCGGAAGATCAGCGAGAGGACTACACCCTTGCCGCAGTGTGGATCAGCCCGTATTCCGCATATCGCACGACGCGCGCTGCTCCGAAGCGGGGAAGATGAGTCTTCTGCTGGACGAGGAGGAGCTCGACGAGTGAGTTCTTGTTTGTGTTCGACGGGGGGTCGAGAGGAATTTTAATAAAGCTGCCGCCGAGCTCGATGACTCGACTACGAGGGGTAGCTGTCGCATACACGCGCTCACCGTTCCTCGA